GGGTTGGGTTGGGTTGGGTTGGGTTGGGTTGGGTTGGGTTGGGTTGGTTGGTTGGTTGGTTGGTTGGTTGGTTGGTTGGCTAAAAAGGTTCATTCGTTGAAGGGGGTCATTGGTTGAGTGGTTGGAGTTGGTTCCGTTGACTGGTTGGGGCGGTTCTCTCTGAAGATTTAGGCTAGAATGAACTACAGGTTGGAAATGCAGTTTCGGTGTTTAGGGGAATCAACAACTGATGTGGTCATTCAAACACTGTGTAGGTCTTCCGCCATCTTTCGTGTCCATCCTTAGCCCTCAGGCACTCCTCGACGACGCGGAGATACCGGGCGTTCCAGCCTGGCACCACGGCCAACAAAGGTTCTTTGCGAAGTGCGAGTGAGCCGTGGAGAAGGTATAACAGAGTTCAATGATCAAGGGATGGTTGGATGGTTCACTGCGAAACTTGCAGGACGTTGCAGGACGAGTCTCCCTCCAAGAATCTTAGCAGCCATGGATGAAAGATCTTAGCAGCCCTGTGTATGTCTTATTTTCTTGTTGTTGCTGTTGCTGTTGTTTTTGTAACTCGGCAGCTTTGGCTGCCGAAGGCAATCAAGCCCAGCGTTACAACATGTCCCTCATAGCTGCAAAGAGTTGCCTTTGGCAACATTGGAGATCATGAGATCATACGAAGAAACGTTTGAAACGTACATATATTTGCATATTACCGTACATCTGACTAAGGCAACTACTTCTTCCACGCTCCTCCCGTGCCACTGATCTTCGATGTTGAAGACCAACGGCCAACCATCTTGTTTGGGGAGCAACGAACCAGCCGGAGAGGCCAACGGTTTGGATGGATCCAGCGTACAGTCACGCGTTTGAATCCTCCTGGGTGTGTGTGTGTGTGCGCGTTTGTACACCCTGCAATCAATCATCTTTGCGAAGGAGCGACTGTTCACCTGGCTGTGCTAGGAGATACTGGACGCAGTATCTTCTTCCTGCTGTGTGTGTGTGTGTCGATCCTGAGCGCATTTCAGTCGCAGCTGGAGAACATCTCCCTCCTTTAAGTCGTAGCTTTCTCCTTTTCTTTTCACCGAGGTCTCTTCGGGTCAGTGGCATTCGGGTCCTGTACGTACACCAATCTCAAGTGCGTACTTCTGGTGTATTTCTTTGTTAGGCTACAGCATGTTTTGCTGCAACTGTATTGGTAATCGTGTCCATGTTCTACATAAATGCATTGCCCATCATGTCCGTGTTCTACGTAGCGCGTACGGTATTACTATTACCATCTATTGCCCGGCTACCCCACCCCCTACCCTCACCCCCCACCATACGGTACGTATTACAACTTGCTCCTCATGTCCGTGTTCGACATCAAAGCAGCACAAAAGTACCAGGCACCCCGGCAAACCGGCGAAGGTGGCAACAAAAAAAACATCATCATACATCATCCGTGCAACATGATCGAAGCATTCAGCGATGTCCGCCTGGTCATCAGCCCCCGCCTAAAATAGACATCGAACCTGTACGATCCAAGTCAAACGGAACTCCGTTCGTCAAACACCTTGGTCAGCAGAGACACTGTACTTATTATGTACTGTTCGTCATCTCCCGGATGGCCCGTGAGAGTGTCGCCAATCTCGACCCAGCTGGATCTCTCGAGCTCAGTCCGGCAGATTGATTCAAGCCTCTCCCCACGAGGCACCAAAGATTTGTCACCAGTGCACCAAAAATATGTTGAGGTTTGGAATTCATTCGCGCCCTTTTGGAAACTAGAAGCTCCAAACCTCTCCACTGGGCCCTTCACACCGATTTTTTCCCACGCCGAACCTGTCTTCCTCCCCCCCCCCGCGAGGAGGAACGAATTCGACATGCAGCAGCATCAGAGATTCGGCAACCGAGCATTGGCAAGAGGCTTGGCTGCGAAGGTCTAAGCAGCATAGTAGTGTGACATATCATGAGAAGGGCCCATGTGAACCTAAAAGGAAGAGTCCAACCCCCAACAACAGCATCTCTTGGTGCGTTTTCGCGGGGTTTGCCACCAAGCTTCACCTAGAGTTTCTCTCTCTTCATCTCATTCGACTCTAGCTTGCCGTCTCGCCAAGTGCACCCTTGCTGCTCCCAATGAAAGGCGGTAGGTCTTCCCTCAGGCCGCAAGAGCATCAATCTGCCGCGACATCTCCTGACGCTGCATGAGCCGTGGGGCGATTTGGATGAAGAACACTTGGTATCACGATTTGAGTGTTGGAGGATGAGCAGATTTTGCTTGCATCCCAAATGCTGAGAGTTTCTTGTGGGGTGAGTCTTCTCTTTCATCCGGAGATGCACCACATTTGTGAACTGTGGACTGTGTTCAGCCCACCTCAAGCTCTTGTGAGTGGTCTAGCCCGATGCAAGCGCAACTGCCGGATACCTGATCACCCGTGCTACTTCCCTTACCAACGAGAAGCCCGAGATCGAGATGTGGCTTGATGGTGTAGTGAATACTAACTGAATGTTCACTGAATAATTGAGTGTTCACTGAATAGTGTGAATGTTCAAGACTCTCCATCTGAACCAAATACTCTCTTGCATGCTCTCTAGAGTCAAACCTTTCGTGGGGAAACTAGGAATCAACCGCAATCCGACAGCTTCTCGGCGGACTGACGTGACGTGACACGCATGACTACGAAATGGTGACAGCTGGACCTTCTGGATGAGCTGCAACTCTTCAGTCTCACCATGCAAGCACGCCTCAACGCAAAACAGATCAGACGGACCAGGCGATCTTCGTGACAGGTCGTTATGGTCCATGCTGACTCCAAGTATGCGAGCTGCCAGCTGCGCAGGGGTTCCACCAACCATTGGGGCGCCCGTTTTTTTCACCCGAAATCCTCCGACTCTCCGCCTTCCGTAGCCGCTCCGAGGCCTGCCAGCGATGAAACGACTAGAAACATTGGTAACTAGTAACTAGAAGCCATCGCTACTAGTAACAAAAAAGCTTTCTAGGAACTAGATGCCAGCGATGAACTACTGCGGGGTCTTTTTGTGCCCCGAACAGCACGCCGGACTATCTCGGACTCGAGCGAGAGGGACAAGCTCTCTTGCTTGGTCTGACTCCGGAAGAAACAGGGACTTTGGAAATCTATCCATGTACTGTATATTATCCCATGACCAACAGTAGGTGTCCCATGACCGGTACACTCTGACACTCTGTATGTCAAGGGTCGAAAGGTGACCAAAGCCTCGTGACCGTCGCAAGGCCGTCGAAGAAGCGCTCAGAGAACGAACCTCGCCTGTTCAAGAAGTTGCTGTCCATCCACATCTCCTGCACAGTCACGGCAACCGAAACGACTTGGTCACTTCGAAGCTTCGTCGCAGCTTGGTCATGTCCTGATTCCGCTTCTGAAGTGCACTGGGGTAGCAAAGAAACAGGGTCCTGCCCTGATGGATGTCCCAAAAAGAAAAAGGATACGACATCCACATGTGCACAGAGGTGGACTGTGCGACAGGTGGATGTCCAGCATCTTGCCATCAAGGGCCGTCACCTTTAAATGCTCCTACATGTTGGTCTTAAAGACGTCACTCTAGTGCAAGAGTCTTCTGCAACAACCACCCTTGTATAGTCACTTGCCTCCATCGTTGGTTGTTTCAATTGACCTCTGGTGAATTTATATACTAGCAATACAGTATCGCTGAGGAGGAGCCACAGGGGAACAAGGCAATTACAAGAATGACCAGTACTGGCCAATGGACGCCAATATAGTCTAGGATGCCCAAATGCAGACGAAAGGGAACTGGCTTCTCCAGTTTGGACTCTCTGGGGGTCCAGTTGCTAGAACCCCCGCGCCCCCTCCACGCGTGCATCCAAGCGCTCGGGTCCTGCATCCAAGCGCTCGGCACCTGCGCATCCAACGTGGCAAGACACGTGGACGTCACGTCAGGTCACAACCCACCCCGACAGGCTGGGGTCAGGAGACAAGGCAGCGGCCCCAGAGGTGGAGTTCGCTTGGGTCTCGAGGTTTTCTCTCAGATGACTTGGAGGAACAACCAATGGTGCCGGGAAAGGTATCAAAGATTAAACCCTTGATCCTATACAAGTTTGGGGGGGTCCATCGGTTTGAGACTTGCATCTGGCATCTGAATGTCGATTTGCTGTATACAGTATACTTGAATTGTGCCAGTGTAATGTGTTCAAACGAGCCATCAAAACCACTGGCAGAGTTCTATCCCTGCTCTCCAACTTGCCTGTAAGATCGACGTCTTTTTCCCCTTTCCCGAAGCCTGAAACCGAACCGAGTACCGTCTTCCCAGCGAAGCCTACACACCGGTCTATCACAGCACTAGACTTCTTCAGTAGAGCAAAACTCCTCAATAGTGGCGCAGTCCAAAACCCACGCCAAACCAACAAACCGCACAGGTCTCGCTAAAACAAACCCACCGTGCATGCCCTATTCGCGGGCCCTCCCGGGCCCTCCCTGCCCTCGCCTGTATTCCAGGCAGTGGCCACCAGCCACAGGAGTTCCATTCTCTGCTCCTGGGATAGGAGAAGGTCTGGCTAGCACAACCCCACCAGGCCAAGAAGATGTCAGACCTCCCGTTCCAGACTCCAGACGTGGATCCCTGCGAATCCCGTGGATCTCACGACTTGTCCATTAGCAAGTTGTGAGGTGGAGTCATCATGAAAGACCCCTAAACATCCCAGCAACTCATATGGAGCAAATCCACTTGTGGTCCAGACGTGGGGATCCACCGTGAGAACCCTCCAATACTCTTCCGCCCTCATCATGTGGATTCCTGCTCAAGAACCTGGAACTTGGAAAAAAACGTCCGGTTCCAAATACTAACCATCAACGCGACATCGACTTGAAATGTCCAATGACTCAATGACCAGGAAAGAAACCTGAGGCCATCCCAGGAACGTCATCCCATTGGCTTCTTCAACCCCTGGGTAAACGCGTCGTCATGGACGGCCCGCCTCCGCAGGCTTCTCATGCAGCCACTGCTGCAAGATCCGCACCTCGTTCTGCTCATCACAGGTGCTGCAGAAATATTCGCCGAACCATCATCAACCTTCGAAATGTTGTATAAAATCATATACTGTATATTATATTATCCTTCGTTTTAATGATTGTTTCAACAACCTTCGAAATCTACAAAAGAAATCCCGCACGGGTCATCTGTATCAACACCCGGATCCGAACACCACAGGTCACTCGCACCACTTCGAACCTCAGGCCGCCACGCGAGCCGCGCGGTCCACCTGTTGGGCCAACCGCAGGGCCTCGCGCCGCGCAGCCCAGGCCTGCGGATCCACGGAGCCGGGCGGCGGCCGGGCGGCGGCCGGGCGGCGTTGAGGCCAAGAAGTAGCAAGAACA